TTATCTAGTAGTACCATATTACACATAGTTATATTTTGATACTTTTCATGTATAATCAGTTATACGGAGTTCAAATGATGATGTTTGTAGTAGTATTCCTCAAATTATTCCAATTAAATACATTTCTTATAGTTCCATATATTAACATTTCTGAAAACACAATTTTTTGTTGTTCGACATAACAACTAGGACTATCATTCACACTTTAACATATAGATGTAAGTTAGTTTTAGAAAAAAAAGTTTTAGTGTAAGATTAGTTTTTGTAAGAACATATGAACTAAGTAGTACCTAAGATAAGATAAGAATTGGTCCAAATGCACCAATAACGTAAATGAAAACAACACACTACTTAAGTCTCATAGTTATACCCAGTTTACTAGTAGTACCTGGCAGTGAGAATACATAAAATAAGTCAAGTAGTTATATCAGTAGTACCCAACAGTGATACTTGGTAGACAGAACATCATCAAGTGAAATCACATAGTTATACCAAGTAGTACCCAGTAGTATCCGACATGAGAACACACAAATCAAGTCTCACAGTTATAAGAACTATTTTGCCTACTCCTCGGGGTCAGGATCGCTCACAAAATAGCTATACAATCCCCGTCTTCTTCCTCTTCGTCCTCCTCTTTGTTCTCCAGCTGACGGGTATCGTGTTTCTTGTTTTTTTCCTACTAAAGGATCTTCGTGTGGGGGAGGCAAGCCAGTCGAAGCTTGTATATGATCAGGGACAATCCATCAGGACATATGGGGAATTTGATATATCGTCTTGCAATACGCCAAAGAGAACACATAAAACGAATAACACAATTATTTGAGTTATACCTAGGTTTACCATCTCATGGTGTTCTGATGCTTCGTTATTGTGTAGAGTTATCATCTCATGGTGTTCTGACCGTAGCATTCAAAATCATAGGAATGAAATTGAGTTTCAACTGTGTTGTAACTTCATCTATCATGATTTTTCTCTCAACTCTATCAACCAACGTAAAAAAAGTGACATCTTTCACTCTGGTCTGCATCGCTAAAGTGTGAATTTCATCTCCTCCTAAGTTTCATCTCATGTTAACACCTTCCATTGTATAACATCCTCCATAATCAAAACATATGATTGTGCAACTTTTATTCATTCTCCTCTGCAAAAAAATTGAAATATCGTAAGTGCATAATTAAACTGTTATTTAAGTAAT